TTCATCTCACCCGGGACACAGTCTGTTTGCACTACTGCCTTCTGGCAGGAGATATAGAAACATCAAGTCAAAGACAAATAGACTGAAAAACAGTTTCTATCCAAGAGCTGTGGCCTTTTTGAATGCTGTAACTCGATAGTGTGACCTGGGAGTTTGATGGGTGTTGGTGTGGGTGTGGCTGGAATGTGGTTTGTTTGGTTGTTGTTGTTGTTTTGCTTTTGTTGTTTTAAGGGATGGCATCCAATTTCGTTGCACTTTGTGCAATGTTGCACTTGTGTAATGACAATAAAGAATCTATTCTATTCTATTCTATTCTATTCTATTCTATTCTATTCTATTCTATTCTATTCTAACATTCATCAATTTTATAATAGTCCTTAAGGTAGCTTTTAAATTTTCTCCATTCTTCTTCCGCCGTCTCTTTTCCCTGATCACGGATTCTGCCAGTCATCTCCGCAAATGTCATATAGTCCATCACTTTCATCTGCCATTCTTCCAAGGTGGGTAGATCTTGTGTCTTCCAGTACTTTGCGATAAGTATTCTTGCTGCTGTTGTAGCATACATAAAGAAAGTTCTGTCCTTCTTTGACACCAATTGGCCGACAATACCCAGGAGAAAGGCCTCTGGTTTTTTAGAAAAAGTACATTTAAGTACCTTTTTCATTTCATTATATATCATTTCCCAGAAAGCCTTGATCTTCGGGCATGTCCACCAAAGGTGGTAAAAAGTACCTTCAGTCTCTTTACATTTCCAACACTTGTTATCAGGCAAATGGTATATTTTTGCTAGCTTGACTGGGGTCATGTACCACCTGTAAGTCATTTTCATAATGTTTTCCTTTAAGGCATTACATGCCGTGAATTTAATACCGGTGTTCCACAACTGGTGTCTGGATGGATGTGAGGGCGATCTGGCTGCGACATCTGTCACCCCATTGATCGCCAGGGTTGATTCGGCTGATCTGGCTGGCTAGGCGGGTGTCCCCTTCCTCCCTCACCGCTCCATGTGCGTCCCTCCCGAAGCTGCGCGCTCGGTGGAAGAGGACGACCATCCCAGATAGAAGGAGTGTACCGTTCTTCGGTCAAGGGTATACGATAGCTGCGCTCCCCTGCTAGAACCTCCAAACAAGCAGAAGCTTTTCTTTTGGGAATTATAGGGACAGAACTTATTCATGTATGGGATTACAGCAGCAAGAATATTACTCGCTCAAAAATGGAAAGAAGGAGAAGTCCCAGCAAAGGAAGAATAGATTCAAAAACTTATGGAATATGCAGATATGTCAATACTTACTGGAAAAATAAGAAATCAAGATAACAAACTTTTTTTTATAAAAGAATGGAAATGGTTCATTGAATATTTACAGATAAATTGTAAACAGATAAGAACACTGGCATGATTATTGTAATAACCTGCAGTTTCACAAGGGTATATATTTAAAATAGATGATTAAATGAGCAAATTAGGTTTATTTGGATATGCAGAACATATTAAAAATAAATTTAAGGAACCGCAGAAAGAGGGGGAAGGAAGTCAAGTTTTAAAATGTTAAAATGATTGTAAAACAAGTGAAATATAAAACCTGAAAAGCATTTTTAAAAAATTTTGAGTTACAATACAGATTGTCCACTCACTGCCATAAGATCACATAATGATCACTCCAATCCCCAATCCAACATCACTGTCATATTGGCTCACTGAATATCCTCAGTAGGTATCCAACCCAACTGGCTGGCTAAACATTTTCAATCGCTACATGCCCTCCACGGACACCTCTGTGAATGGTGATGGCATTAAAATATCCTGTTCAATAAAAGAGAAAAAAAGGGAAACCAGGCATGGATCTAGACAAAGCAAAAAAGCATTTCAGGAATATGTGTTGTAAACTTTATACAGTGGTACCTTGGAAGTCGAATGGAGTCCATTCCGGAAGTCCTTTTGACTTCCAAAAGGTTCGGAAACCAAGGCACAGCTTCCAGTTGGCTGCAGGAAACTTCTGCAGCCAATCAGAAGCTACGGAAGTCACATCAAAGAACATTCGAAAACCAGAACAATCACTTCTGGTTTTCAATCATTCGCAAGCCAAAATGCTTGACTCCCAAAGCATTTGAAAACCAAGGTACGACTGTAATGGCAAATCATGTTGGCGAAAGATGGAACTCCACAACGCCATCTGGTGTCACAATGCATATAAAACACTTTTTCTTCACCATTGTGGCTGAGTCCCAGATCGTGTCAAAGGTATCTTATTTGGAGATACCTTTGATTAGTCACCAATGGTATGTGAGGCGTTCTGATATGGCAATGCTCCAGATGTTATTAACCCAAGCCTCTACTGGTATATTAGTGGTATATTACTGGTATATTACTGGTATATTATTGCCCTTGGGCAATAACTAGTCTAGTTGCTGTGAAGAGGAGGGAAATTTATTCTTTAGATTTAAGGGTAGAGGTTGGAGTCAAAACTAGTGATAAACAAAGGGAAGAGGGAGGTTTTGGAACTAACAAGGTGTACCTATTCTTCTTTGTCACCAACGCAAACCACCTGTGAAACTCAGTCCCTTTCACCATTCTTTTTCCTGTCTTGGTAGGATTCTCAGTAAATTAATGAACAGATGTTTGAGTGAGAAAATTTAGGAGGTCTGATAAATTATTCCACTGGTCAGCATTAATAACAGACCCACTCTTATGTTCTTTCTCATTGGTTAATACAACATGTACTTTTGTTGGCCCAAAGATGGACAGAACAGAACATTACGAGCAGGTTTTCGTGCCATCTGTTTGATGTACCTGATGTGAAGAGCCCTAGTTATTATCTCATCTGTAATTACCACGCTTGTCATTATCCCTTGGATAATGTCTCAATAGATTTCCAGACAATACCAGCCAAAGTCTAAATATAGGTATAAAAAAACCCTTTCTGCCAATCTAGGTAAGGGAGAGGGCAGAGGAAGGATTTCTGCTTTTCTTTTTGTCAAGTTGCAATAAAGGATTTTAATCTGTGAATTGGTGTGAGGCAGAATATTGTACTGAGCGTGGTTCTGAAGCTAAGGTTCATTTTCTAGATGGAACTGAGGGTGTGTGATCAGGAAGAATATTTGCCTCAGTATGTTGCTGTTTATTGTGCCCCTTATCTTTCATCTGCCACATATGGTGTGCAAACATACACGTTGCACCATCCATGATTGGTCCAGAATTCCACATGAATACTACCAACCTGGTGATCTTATTCTTGGCGGACTTGCTTCTCACCTCCTTACTGCTTCTGACAAAGAAGACTTCAAGGAAAGGCTAACGACCAGTCAACTTCTTAATACCTTGTAAAGACTTTATATGACACGTAATCAGATGTCACAAAAACATCCCCCAGCTCTGACCAGGCTTACTCAGAAACAAGTTCCACTGATTTCACTGGATTTACTTCCAGGCAGAGGTGGGGGTGGATGGGGAAATTGTTGCAAAGCTGAAGAGTTGGCTTGGAAAGGGGGAGGTGGAGACCCTAAATCTATGCTTTCTTAGGCAGCAACCCTAAGCAGGGACGTAGAAAGAAGGGCAGTCTGCCCCGGGTTCCATCATAGAGGGGAGTGTCAAAAAGGAACAATAACTGCCCTACTAGGATGGTTCATAAAAAACTTTTTTAAAAAAATGCCTGCTCCAAAGGTCTTATCTTACTACACTAGGGATTATATAGCTATATCTGAAATTTCATGCATATCAGTTAATATCTTGACCCTCCTCCACGAAAATAACTGTTTCCTTGGCCATTTTCATATGTCGTGAAGGCTGAAATTTCAATTCAGTGGAGCCAAAACACAATCCATCCTGTAGATTTAAGTCGCCTCCTTGTTGTCAGAAGTCCATAATCCACATTCCTTTGTAAGAAAATATGAAATAGCGTAAAACTATTTTTGCAGGCCAAAAAATAATAATTTAAAAATCAATGGTGGTGACAAGAAATTTTCTGCACCAGGTACCACCTGACCTTCCTACGCCTCTGACCTTAAGTATGCTTTCTGCATGGCCTCTGTTGATGTCCGGGTGTGACTGTCAAAGTTTGAGGCCTTGTGCTCTTAATGTGGTGTAGGGCTATTTGGTGATGACTTCTTGGTGAGAGGGGAAGAGAAGAAGGGGGAAAAGAGACAATTGCACCTAATATTTATAAACAGGGCCTGGTTCAGTTCCATTCACTCCAATTGGCCCGGGCAACAAATGAAGGTTCTGATCAGTGAAGAAATGGCAGTTAACTGTCAGTTGTGAAAAGGAACATGTGGCAAAGACCAGAGAAAGCTGAGGTGAAAGTAAACAGATAAGGCTATTTATCCTCAGTGTGTTGATAATATTTTGAGGTGAGCATCAGAACAAATGAGCTGGTGAAAATTTCAGGTTAGGAAGCAGATTTCTTAAACCAATTCAACTGTCCAACCAGCCAGAAATACAATTGGAGGGTTAAGTGGCAATTTGTATCTAGCAGTTGTTTAACCAATCTGTGAGTGAATCGGGCAGGAGTGGAGGTTTAGGGAGTCTGGTCAGAGGATGGTGTCAGCAACAGCATCACTTGAATCTTGTTCAGGTACATGGAGGACCCCTAAGTAAATATATGTACAGTGGTACCTCAGGTTAAGTACTTAATTCGTTCGGGAGGTCCGTCCTTAACCTGAAACTGTTCTTAACCTGAAGCACCACTTTAGCTAATGGGGCCTCCTGCTGCTGCTGCGTCGCCGGAGCATGATTTCTGTTCTCATCCTGAAGCAAAGTTCTTAACCTAGGGTACTATTTCTGGGTTAGCAGAGTCTGTAACCTGAAGCGTACATAACCCGAGGTACCACTGTATTTCCTTATTAGAGAAGGGGGGGGGGGAATTCAAATCAGTTCACATTTAAATGTGAACCTACCAGATTTCTCATGCTCAAAAAAGATGTTGAAATCAAAAGAGAGCCATCATTTGAAATTCACCCTTCTCCAAATTTTAGTGTACTTCTCCAGCCAAACAATGTATACAAAAATGCGTATCCTGGGGTAAAATGACCCCAAAATGCATGTATTAGTGAAAGTGTTATACAAGTGGAATACAATGCATTCTTTTAACAGAACTTGTTTTACAGATATTTGTATATTAGGGCACAATTTGCACTGACATGCCGAAGAATCATCATGTGGCCCTTAAAAAATGTATAGCACACATTTGATACAATTGCATACAATGATACGGCATAAAATTCTCTGTGCAGTGTGTTGCCAAAGAACTACCAGCATATCCTGGCCTTGGTGTTTGCTGTCAAGGAGATCAATGAGAACCCCAAGATCTTACCTAATATTACATTGGGATTCCACATCTATGACAGTTACTTCAATGAAAGGATGACCTACACGGCTACTCTGAACCTCCCATCCACACTTGTACCCAACTACAAGTGTGACACTCAGAAACTTCAGATGGCAGTTATTGGAGGACTTGACTTTGAAACCTCCCTCCTAATGGCCAACATCTTGAGCATCTACAAGATCCCCCAGGTAAGATCTCCCACTGGAGACTTCTCACTCATTCACCATGATCTTTTCTATCCAGAAAGGTTTTGTATAGTAAAAAATAGTTGTGACTGACAAAGGAGAGTGATCCTGCCCTCCACAAAAAGTGTTTCCAGTGTGCCTCACACAATTAAATAATATGTTTAGCATAAAGCTGTCAGATAGTATTTCCCCCCCCCCCTCATATATAATTTTTAATAAGTTTTACAATTTTATATTCATCACAATAATCAATGCTACAAAAAGGAACATATGGATTCCCATCTCCCCCACCCTTCTCCCATGACTTCCCTCAATTTCTTCTTCTGGTTCTTTAAATATTTCCTTATCCTGCCTGTCTTCTTCTACCTTGATTTTGTAATCTTTTAATTAAATATTGTTATATTCTTATCGTTTTGTACCATGTTTTTTCCAGTTACCATATTTTTCGCCCTATAGGACACACTTCTCCCCCTCCAAAAACGAAGGGGAAATGTGTGTGCGTCCTATGGGGCAAATGCAGGCTTTCGCACCGACCCCTCTCACTCTCCAGGCTTCAGGAGAGCCCCACCCCCAGCCCCGCAAGCTCAGGGGACAGCGGGGAGGCGCAGCGCGCCATCCCGCTGTCTCCCGATGTGGTTTGGAGGCTGGCGGCGGGGAGACGCGTGCTTCTCCCCGCCGCCAGCCCCGCAAGCTCGGGGAACAGCGGGGAGGCGCAGCGCGCCATCCCACTGTCTCCCGACGTGGTTTGGACGCTGGTGGTGGGGAGAAGCCCACTTCTCCCTGCCGCCAGCCCTGCAAGCTCGGGGGACAGCGCGGAGGCGCAGCGCGCCCAGGCTTAGCTTTGCGCAGCTCTCCGCAAGCCGTGGGAACCCAGCACTGGGCTCCCACGCTTGCGGAGAGCTGCATGTTCTGGGGGTTGGGGTCGGGGGAAGCTTGGGCTTCCCCCGCCCCAGCCCCATGCCTGGGGGGGGGGAAATAATTCCCCCCCTTTATTTCCCCCCCAAAAAATTAGGTGCGTCCTATGGACCGGTGCGTCCTATAGGGCAAAAAATACGGTACATCTTACACTTTGCTATTTTCCCATTATTACGTCTTCATTTTTATGCTTGTTTTCCTAGTCGTAAGTGTTTACTCAAACCCTGCTAGTGAGTCCACTTCTTTACAATGTTTCTGTAAATACAACATAAATGGTTCCCAGTCCTTTTTAAAGTGTCTATTCTCCTTGTCTCTTAGTTTCCCAGTTAGCTTCACCATTTCAGCATATTCCATCAGTTTTTGTTGCCATTCTTCTTCCGTTGGTATCTTGTCATCTTTCCATCTTTGGGCTAGTAGCATCCTAGCCACTGCTGTAGCATACATAAATAATTTCTTCCACTCTTTTGGCAAGTCTTGGCCTGTAATGCCTAACAAAAACGCTTCTGGTCTTTTAACAAAGGTTGTCTTAAACATTTTTTTTCTTTTCATTATAAATTATTTCCCAATAACTTTTGATTATTTTACAGTTCCACCACATGTGATAAAACGTGCCTTCACCTGTCATATAGTATTGACCCTTCAGCAACATTTAAACATGTTTGCTGTAGGTGGTCATTCCTCATCCCCTCTCTTAAGCCTTTTCTCTCTGCTGGGTGTCTGAGCAGTGTATGCTACATGCCTCCCCTGACTCCTATAGTTAGTCTGGTGTCTCAAGCGCAGTGGATGATGTGATCCTATTTGTTGCATTGAAGTAAGATTCAGTGGCAGCAGAATGTCTGGTGGAACCTTTCTGCAACCCACTGCGAATTGGGGTGCATACCTGAAAATATTAGAAGGAAACCCAGATTGCAATCCAGAATCTTGTGATGAGCTTCTGCTCCTGTTTATTCTGGCAAGTCATCACACTACTGGAAGGATTAGTAGAGCACCTGCAGTGAATGTAGAAGGTCAGTCCGTGGCATCTTTGATTAGGTCTCCTACCACGCCACATAATCAGTGGCGAGCTAGATGGATCAATGGTCTGACACAGCAGTAGGCAACTTCCTGTGTTCATCTGAGGCATTTAGCTGTGGGATGCTTTAATTCACAGCAGTAGCAGTAGCAGGAGGGGGTAGCAGTCATAGTTGAGACAGCACTATGCACTAAGTGCCTGAGCTAGAATTCATCTCAGGATGCTTCCAGGCTGTTACTATGTTTGAATAAGATTCAGTCACATACCAGCAAATTCAGGTTATGCAGTTAAAGGTGATCTGGAGGTTTTGTGAGCAACCCCCCCCCCCAAGTGATGCCAACTTGAAAAAAATATGGGGGGGCAGGCAAGACCCCTCCTGCAAAATGACACAGTGCGCACACACCATTTGAATGGTAATGCCCATCACCTGTGGGAGGGGAGGGCAGCCCCCTCAAATGTTTTATTGGGGAGTCCAAGGGACCTCAGGCCCAAGGCGTTGGCCCCTATAGTGTGGCATAACATTTGCTTGATGCCGCGTTGTTCAACTACCTCCTGCATTTCTGTGGGTTCAACTAGATGACCCTTGTGTTCCCTTCCAACTCGACAATTCTAGGATTCTTTGAAACTGCCCCACACATTGTGGCCCTTGAGCGGGACTCTGTGGGTTAGGGATTTGACAAAGGTAGGGAAGGGAAATTAAGACACCATGAAATGAGAAGGTGAAATGCTGTGGTGAAGCTAAGGTAAAGGTAAAGGTACCCCTGCCCGTACGGGCCAGTCTTGCCAGACTCTAGGGTTGTGCGCTCATCTCACTCTATAGGCTGGGAGCCAGCGCTGTCCGGAGACACTTCCGGGTCACGTGGCCAGCGTGACAAGCTGCATCTGGTGAGCCAGCGCAGCACACGGAAACGCCGTTTACCTTCCCGCTGATAAGTGGTCCCTATTTATCTACTTGCACCCGGGGGGTGCTTTCGAACTGCTAGGTTGGCAGGCGCTGGGACCGAGCAATGGGAGCACACCCCGCCGCGGGGATTCGAACCGCCGACCTTTAGATCAGCAAGTCCTAGGCGCTGAGGCTTTTACCCACAGCGCCACCCACGTCCCATAGTGGTGAAGCTAGGGTGCAGGAAAGTAGCAGTGCAGGAAAACAAGGAGAACAAACTGGAAAGGGAAAGGGAGTAGGTGGGAGAGGAAAGCAGGACTGCACGGAAACAAAGAGAAGGAACTGGAGAAGGAAAAATGAGGTGGGGAGAGGAGAGGGAAAGAGGGTATGCAAGGAGGCAGAGGCTGACAAGCACTCCATCCAGACAAGATCTGCCACCCTCCCAGTTTCCCAGTGCCTTCTTTCCTGGGGCAACTGTCTCAATGCACCTTATTAGGTAGGATGCACATGCCCAATCAATTTATGGATTATGCCCCTTTATTTCCTTTTAGCTCACTTATGGCTCCTTTGCCCCAGAGGATGCTGGTCAAAGCCAATCTACCTCCTTCTACAAGATGGTGCCCAATGAAAGCCCATCAATACACTGGGATCGTTGAGTTACTGCTGAACTTTGGTTGGACGTGGGTTGGGCTGCTCGCCTGTGGATAATGACAGTGGAGAGAGATTTATTCAGACCCTGAAACCTCTGCTCTCCCAGAAAGGCATTTGCTTGGCCTTCTCAAAGAAAACCCCAAAAATCACATATTTGGCAGAGTATTATGATCCTGCAGTCCTACTCAATCCAAATTTATCAAGCTATGATGGAAAGTAAAGCCAAAGTTGTTGTTTTCTATGGAGAAACAATCTCTACGACTGACTTGAAAGAAATGGTAACACTCGGTGAATTGGAAAATGTGACCAAGACATCTGTGGGCAAGGTGTGGATACTGACAGCACAGGTGGATTCACAGCACTGACCTATCAAATGAACTGGGATATGCAAGTCTTCCATGGTTCCCTCTCCTTTGCGGTTCATTCAAATATGGTGCAAGGATTCAAAGCCTTTCTGAGGTCCAAAATCCTTTTGAGGCAAATGGAAATGGCTTTGTCAAGCAGTTTTGGGAACAAGCATTTCTCTGTTTATTTCCAAAACTCCAATACAGAGGAGCAGGCCAGTGGAACCTGCACTGGAGAGGAGAAACTGGAAGATATCCCTTCCTCTGGCTTTGAGATGAGCATAACGGGCCCACAGCTATAGTCCTCTATAATGCTGTCTATGCCACAGCACATGCTCTACATGCCATGTTCTTGTCCAGGACCAAATACAGGGCAGCGGTGGAAGGAGGGATGCAGGAGCTTCAGAAATTCCAGCCTTGGCAGGTAATTCCTTTCATGAGATACATTTTATTTGACATGGGCAATGATGTGTAAATCAGCACACTAAAAATGTTTGAGCACTTTGTGGAGGATCAGATTCTCCCCTTGTTTGCAGAGAAGTTGCTCATGAAGGAGTAGCACAGTGTAGGATCAGACCATCCCACTTACAGCTGTTAAGCAGGAGGATCCAATCCTGCAGGGCGCTGCGTTTTCGTGAGCAGCTGTCTTTGCAGAGAAATTGTTAGTGCAGGGTGATCCGATCTCGCACTGTTCTGCTCCTTCACAAGCAGCCTCTCTGCATACAAGTTAATCAGAAGATCTGATCCTACACTGAAAGGCAGGCCCACGCAGAGAGTGGAGAAGCTGAGTACACTTGCCCTGTTCATCAAAAAGCTAAGCTGGTCACGGGGCCCTGCCAGGGCTTGCTGAACTTACACTATCATGCCAAGAACACCATGTGCATCCCAGCTGCCCCATGCCTCAGACAAGCTCTACATGGGCCTCCTGATCAGAAAAGGGGAGAGTTGGCAAGGCATGTTCTGCAACTGAGGAAAAATCTAGGGAAGAGCAAGCACAGCACCCACAGAGGTTGTCCCTGACCAGCAAAAAACAAGTAATGAAGAGGACTTAGTGAATTTCTTTAAAGCTGTTTTTTGTATCTTAGCTGAGATCATTAAGGTATGTCATTCTTGTTGGAAATCCCAGGAAGCCAAGACCCACGTTTTGGGTAAGGAAACGGTAGCAGAAGTTTAACATGGGAAAATATGCACCGATCAAAGCACAGAAATATAGGCTGCAAAACTTTCAGATGCACTCTTTCCAGTGAATCCCACTGAAGGTTATAACATAGTTTACTTACAAAACTCTTCAAAGGTAACATTCATGTGCTTTTCCATATAGCAGTCAGAAAAAAATCTGCACAGGCAGTAAAACATAACTTGATTACAAAATTGGTAATAGTTTCTAAACAATTGGTATAGAAAACACTAGTTTCATATTCCATTCTTGTCTGGAACAAAAGAGGCAGATTAAATCCATGTGACTGGAGGGAGCAGAGAATTCACACATAGGCTGAGTAGAAAACAGGATTTGTTGCCCATTTCTTCCCAAAGTGAGGGAGCCTGGCAGGACAGATTACTCCATGGTATTAACCCCTTCATGCTGAGTATATGAGGCTGGTTGCCCTCTTGCAACAGCGGCAGATATCCAAGCAGTGTGTCCTAAAAGCCATGGATTTTTTCCCTCATTTCTTTTTGTTTCCGGAAAGCATTGAGATTTTCTCCATAGGAAACAATAGAAATCGTCAGCTCACTAGGCAAATTCTCAGCTTACTAACCATTTATCAGGGATGGCTTACTTTCGCATAGCAGTATCTATGTGTACTGACAGTCTGGAGACATCCTGAGTGCCAGCAAGGAAAGACATTTACCGGTACATGACTTCATAGTTACTATTTTTTCTTCCAATGTAGCTCCATCCCTTCCTTAGGAGTGTCTCCTTTAACAACTCTGCTGGAGAAACGGTATCTTTCAGTGAGAGCAGGGAAGTAGAAGCTGGCTTTGATATTACCAACATGGTCACTTTTCCAAATAACTCCTTCGTGAGGGTCAAGGTTGGAAGGGTGGGTGTGGAATCTGCCCCAGGCCAGCAAATTTCCATTGATGACAACAGAATGGTGTGGCACAGAAGCTTTCACCAGGTGGGGCATAACTACATCCATGAGATACAGGAAAACAGAGTGTTGTTGCATTTAGAGATCATCAGTTCAGCTCATCCCTGGCTTTCAGCCTGATTCAAAACATTTTCCTTTGCAATACCTAAGAAAGTAAGATGAACTTGTGGAGTCAGGCCAATGGCCCATCTTGTCCAGCATCTGGATATGGCATAAACATGGCTGTTGGGCTGGGGCTTTCTCTTTTTTTAAAAAAAAAATTTTTTTATTAGTTTTCCAAACATATAGTATAAACAAACAACAAAACAAAACAAAACATACACACAAATAAACATGTACAATTTCATAAACTCATTCTCCTTCACCTTGTTTCCCGGACTTCCCCATACCTCCCTTTTCTGCATCCTTATTTTTTCGCTTTTAACAGCAACCCTTCATTTCATTATTAATTTATCTTCATTATAGCCCCTTTAAATTTATGATATACAGCTGCAATTCTCTATTTCTTAATACCATAACATCTCAGCACTCTTCAATTTTACAACAGTTTTTCAGATATACTTTAAATTTCTTCCAATCTTCTTCCACTGTCTCTTTCCCCTGGTCACGGATTCTGCCGGTCATCTCAGCCATTCCCATGTAGTCAATCACCTTCGCTTGCCATTCTTCCAGAGTAGGTAGCTGCTGCGTCTTCCAATACTTTGCCAGAAGAATCCTTGCTGCTGTGGTAGCATACATAAAAAAAGTTCTGTCCTTCCTTGACACCAATTGGCCCACCATGCCCAGGAGAAAAGCCTCTGGTTTTTTAGGAAATGTCCATTTAAGGACCTTTTTGATTTCATTATAGATCATTTCCCAGTAGGCCTTAATCCTCGGGCAGGTCCACCAAAGGTGATAGAAAGTACCTTCACTTTCATTACATTTCCAACATTTGTTATTGGGCAAATGGTAAATTTTTGCAAGTTTGACTGGGGTCATATACCATCTATAAATCATTTTCATTATATTTTCTCTCAAAACATTACAGGCCGTAAATCTGACACCAGTATTCCACAACCTTTCCCAGTCTTCAAACATAATGTTATGACCTATGTCTTGTGCCCATGGGCTGGGGCTTTCTCTATCCCAGGGTTTTTACATGAGCCTTTTGTCAAGAATAAGGTGTTTGTTGCTCAGGTGGGAAGGAAGCAGGGGCCATGTAGGTTTGTGGGGAGCTGCCCTGTGTCACCAACCATAGAATGAGGAAAGGGGCTTCTTAGATTGTGGAAAACTCAAAACAATAAATAAGGGCAAAGGAATAAATAAAATCAGCTGTCCCCCAAGAAGACTCGCTTGGCACCTTCTCTACATATCTTTAGGTACCATGTAAAATCATCCCTATTCTCTCAGGTGGTTATTGTATTGAACTATGTATGGCCAGGGGACAGGGGGCGCTGTGGGTTAAACCACAGAGCCTAGGACTTGCTGATCAGAAGGTCGGTGGTTCGAATCTCCGCAATGGGGTGAGCTCCTGTTGCTCAGTCCCTGCTCCTGCCAACCTAGCAGTTCGAAAGCACGTCAAAGTACAAGTAGATAAATAGGTACCGCTCTGGCGTTTCCATGGGCTGCTCTGGTTCGCCAGAAGTGGCTTAGTCATGCTGGCCACATGATCCGGAAGCTGTACGCCGGCTCCCCTCGGCCAATAAAGTGAGATGAGCGCCGCAACCCCAGAGCCGGCCACGACTGGACCTAATGGTCAGGGGTCCCTTTACCTATGTATGGCCAACCAGATGCCTGCTGGTAACCCACAAGCTGAACATGAACGAACACAAGACCACTCTTACACTTGTAGATCATCCTTGGCACTGCACCTCAGTCCTCTCCAAGAACCATGAGTTTTTACATGTCCTATGACTGGAGAATTGGGGGTGGAGCATGTGTTACATTATGTATGGAGACAATGGGGGCAGGGCTGGTGAGGATGAGCCCCAATCCACTTCCCACCTTGAGCCCTCATGCATTCTTTCTGAATGCCAAAAGGGGGCTCAAAGAGAGTCACTTTCAGCATTATTTTTTAAACCATGAATAGCAGAATAAGAAGTTTAGTGTCTTCCTGCTTCTAGCTGGAAGGAATAGGAAGCCAAAAGTACTGCTAATTTCTGTGTGCTAAACTGTTTATGTGTTTCTTTAAATGGGCAGTTTCCACCCCTTTCTGTGTGTAACCCAAATTGCCCCCCTGGTACCAGCAAGAAAAAGAAGGAGGGGGAGCCATTCTGCTGCTATGATTGTGTTCCTTGTCCTCAAGGCAAGATTTCATCCCAGAAGGGTAAGAGACATGAGATAAATACTTTTCAGACATAAGTTTATTAGAAGTGATGGAGAAAGTTAATTAAATAATTTTTTGTATATATTATTTGTTTAGAGAATCTATCATATTTTTTTAGAGAATTACACATTTTGAAGGGTAACAATACTTTTGTTCGTGTGTTGTTTCAAGGAGTGCAATTTAGATAACTTTCCCATTCAAACAGCAACAAAACCAAATTTCTCCTCCATCCCTATTTATAGAAAGCCCCCATAATGCACATTGTCCTAAAAGGAAAATGTTTGTTACACATGACCTAAGCTCTTCCCATCAAAAGGTTCTTTTTGATGTTTAGTCAGAATCTCATTTCTTGTAATGTGAAAAAAGGAGACATCTGTGAAATTTCTAATTAAACCTTAAGAGTACCATACTAGCAGCTTAGTGGTTGCTCTCCAACACATCTGAAATAAGAATGCATTACTTTCTTTCCAGATATGGATGACTGTGTTGGGTGCCCCGAAGATCACTATCCACACAAGAACCAATCGCAATGCATTCCAAAGACCATCAGCTTCCTGTCTTTTAAAGAGCCTCTGGGGATGAGCTTAGCATTGATTGCTCTTTCTCTCTTTCTCCTCACAGTGGTGGTCCTAGCCATCTTCATTAAACATCAGGACACACCCATTGTCAGAGCAAACAATCGGGACCTCACCTACACTCTCCTCACTTTCCTCCTGCTCTGCTTCCTCTGCCCATTGATCTTCCTCAGTCCTCCAGAAAGAGTGAGCTGCCTGCTCCGACAAATGGCTTTTGGCCTTGTTTTCACAGTGACTGTTTCTTGTGTTCTGGCCAAAACGATCACGGTGGTTCTGGCCTTTGTGGCCACCAAACCAGGATCCAGAATGAGGAAGTGGGTGGGGAAAAGACTGGCAAGCTCCATTGTGATTTCTTGTTCCCTTATCCAAGCAGGCATTTGTGCTGTGTGGTTAGGAACCTCTCCCCCATTTCCTGATTCTGACATGCACTCTGTGATGAGGGAAATCATTCTAGGCTGCAACGAAGGGTCAGTTGCCCTGTTTTACTGTGTCCTGGGCTACATGGGCTTTTTGGCCATTCTCAGCTTTGTTGTGGCCTTTTTTGCCAGGAAACTGCCTGACAGCTTCAATGAGGCCAAATTCATCACCTTCAGCATGTTCTTGTTTTGTAGTGTTTGGATCTCCTTTGTTCCAGTGTACCTGAGCACCAAGGGGAAATACATGGTGGCTGTGGAGATCTTCTCCATCTTGGCCTCCAGTGCTGGCTTACTGGGCTCCATCTTTTTCCCAAATGCTACATCATTGTGTTGAGGCCTGATCTGAACAGCAAGGAGAGCTCACCCGTCGCGGGGATTCGAACCTCCAACCTTCTGATCGGCAAGCCCTAGGCTCTGTGGTTTAAAACCCACAGCGCCACCCGCGTCCCCGTCAGTCAATGTAAATTGTAGACAATACTGAGCAATATAGACCAATGGTTTGACTCAGTATAAGGTAGCTTCCAATGTTCCTGTGTTCCCTCATCCACTCAAGTGCTACTTTCCCTCCCTGCTCACCCCACACTCCAGCCCACAAAAGAAAGAAGATATGTCAAAAGCACGGGCTTGGCACGTTACCACATTGTCAGTATGCCTCTCGTGAAGTGTTATTGTTTCTTAATTGGGAGGCTTTGGACTGCATCCAATGAACTACCATTAAATTGTTTCCTGAGAACTTTCGTCATTTGCATGCTTCCTGAGAACATTATTCATAACGCGCAGAAAAGTGCCAACCTGATTCTCCATTTTCTTCCCAGATGGCAGCTGCTCTTCTGATGGAGCTGGCGCTGCACATCACTGTGTTTATTTCTGTTGAACTGAAAAGCAGATCTCCTAAGCTCTTGTGATGCTTCAAAATATCATATCCGAATGATTGTCTAGTTATGCAGATTGTGTCCTAAGACTTTTCATTGTCAGATTCTTGGCATTAGCATGTAATAGAAAGGAATCATCTGTCCTGCGGGGGGGGGGGCAGATGACAGACTAACTGTAACGTCAATGCATATGGCCTGCTTTCTTCAAAAAAAGAACTACTCATAGCAGTTTCTTAGTCCTGGTAAGAAAATAATCCCATCTTGCATTGAATGATCACACAAAAAATGACCTACAGATTAAAGAGGGGTCAACTAAAGCAGAGGTAGCCCTTCAAAGATTATGGACTACAAATCCCATCATCCCCAGCCAGCAATGACAGTCAGGAATTATGGGAGTTGTAGTTCACAGCATCTGAAGATCACCACACTGGTTTATTCTTTTAGCTCAGGGATAGCCAAACACATCCCTCTAGAAGCTATTCAAGAAAGAACATAAGAGAGGTCTTCCAGTCACCAGTAATAGTCATACAGCGCTGTCTTTAGCATATGCGCCACCGGGGTGCAAAGATCCGCCCAGCGCCTCCAAATTTAGCTTAGCCCTCAAATTAACACCACCACACTTAAACTTATAAGTATTGTTTAGGCACCTACTTAGGAGAAACATCAGTCATGTCAAAGGTGCCACTTACCCCGCTGCTGCAGAGCAGCTCAGTACAAAAACATAACATAATATTTTGATGTAAGAGTTAATTTTGCATGCACGGCACCGTTGAGAATGACAAGCGTCACCGCTGACACGGCGTGTCTTTGGTAAATGAGTGCACAAACTTGAAAGTCGTTTAGTGAAACAGTAGGTATACATTTCAGTATATATGTATTCTGTTTTTCTAGCTTGATCAAAATTATTTATTATTTCATAACAGGTAGATAGTTAAGAGCTTAGGCATCTTCAGCGGCAGGCACCGGGCACCCCCAGAATTCACCGCCCGGGTGCCCTGCACCCCTTGCAGCCCCGGGTAAAGATGGCCCTGTAGTCATACTTAGTCCAGAGGTCTATTTCATTGTTTCTAACAACAGATATTCAATGAGTAGAAGTTCTACTGAGTAGAACCAATGCTGAGCAGGTGCTTCTGAGGCAGAATCGTGTTTACAATAGAAAATGAACGTAATTGTGCACCTTCCTCAAATAGATGACATTTCCCAAACCCTACCCAGTTTCCAGCCTTTGCCTTGTGCCTTCTTTCCCAGTAACAAAAGGTGTTCATTCCATATCTCATTCCTTTTCTATGTTAAGGGAAATCCTTTTGATTTCCAAACAGGCCTTTACATAAAATGGCTGCCTACCATGCAGACTCAGGTATCCCTGACACAAATGTATTCCAACATTAATTTTCGCAACAACACAAAAACTATGCTCTATTTGATTCTCTTTTGAAATTGCAGCATAATCAGCCTAGATTTTTTTTATCAGTTGACAGCCACAGATTTGCATAATAATAGTCTCCCCACATTAATAATTCTGGATCATAATAGAATCATTACCTGAGCCCTCAGATGGGCAGTTCTGAAATGCTCTGTCGCTGTAATCTCACACTGTTAAAGCATTGTAACCACGGTGTAATAGGATTCCCAAGCATTTGCATCCAAATTAGCCTCATAAAAAACCCGCCATTCATCAGGGCATTAACATCTCTGTAGACTTCCATGAAATACCACTGCCCCTGGTAGCCAACACCAAAGCAATTTTCTAATTTTGTTGCTTCACAATGGAGTTCATTTTCTATCAAAAGTGTCTGCCATCATCTTACCCATAGCTCTGCATAAGGTGATGGGAAAGTAATGATGTCTCTGACTCAAGGGGACTAGCAACTTCAGATGAAGGAAATGTACAAGCTCACTTTGGCACGAACCCTGCTTGTTGTAATTTCAACTTCAAAATCCAGCATGGCTTCTTTCTGCCATCTGTTTTGCCACACGCCCTACAATAACCAACCAAATTGTTTTAAAAGAACACATCTGTGTGATGTTTGGGTCAAAAGAGTGGATAAAAATAATTTTCAATTTTTAAAGAAGTTTATGAGTGGAATATAACCATATTTCCTAATGCCATGGTTCCAAGTGGATAAAAACACAAGATCCTGAATACTTTATGATGGCATCTGGAACAGCACCCAAAATGGCATATGGGGAATGTCTTAAGGGCTGCACTTTGATGGAGATCACCCAATTAGAGAATTTCACAAGTTGAAAGCACATGTCTGAAAAACTAGGCTGCTTTCCTTTTACAAATTTAAATTTGCTGCAAAATAGAGGCTTAATCAGAGGCTAACAGACTCTGGACAAAATCCTCAAGCTTCTGTGACTATCCATTCATATTCCAAGAAAAAGTTAGTACAGCATCAGCTCCAGATTCTGGAACACCCTCAGGCAAGATACCTTCCATCGACCCTCCTCCATCACCAAGACAAGTCCAGGGAGCTTCTGGCAGTGAGCTCCCTGGTGGAATATGGGCACTCAGCTGGTGCCTGACCATGTCAAGCCTTTATGCCATCCCTGCAGGGATCCACAAGGAAGAGTCTGAGCCCAGCCATGTGGCTAAGATAGCTACAAGGCATTGGTACCCACTCTTGCTTTCAAGGGCAGATCAAAGTGGAAAGGGTGGAAACAGGCCTGTAAGGTTCTTCAGTTACATGCCGAAGCATGTTTACTGAGAGCCAAGTCCCACTGAATTCAAGCAAGCAAGTGTGCAGAGGATTTCAGCCTAAGTGTCCTGGCTCCCACTCTTAGTACGCAGACTCTCAGCCCAGGGATTCTTGAAGGCTTCACTCCACAAGCCAGTACATGGTTTAAACACAGATCAAGATACGGGTTCTGCAGTTCATAAGCAGGGCTCTACAGGACAAAGGTGCAAGCTAAGATGTTGTCTCAACACCTGACATGCCCCCTTCACTCTCCTTCTGAAGAGTAGGGTGGGCACAGTTATTTGTACAGTTTTCGTCCCAAGTGATGGGAGTGGGCATTCCTGAAAGTGGGCTGGGTCTGCTTGCACCAGCACATCCAACAGAGCTTCCTTGGAGATGGGCCCTCAGTCTGCTAAGTCGGCTCACTGTCCAATTCAGGTTCACGCACTTTCCCAGTTGCCAGGGCTACCTCACTCTGAGGAGGCAGGGCGATGGCCGGTTCACTTGGCTATCCCTCCTCTCCTAGGATGTCCACAAGTGGGGCTTTAAGTCTTCCTACTACTTGCCATCCACTGACAGATCCTTCCAGGACTGCCCTTGCCCCCTTGATGCCACAAGACCCATGACACTAAGCCAAAGGGTGCTGCATAAATTACACAAGGAAAGGGACTTGGGGAATAAAAAAAGGTTGCCAAAACAGACAATTGTTTGGTCAGTCATTTGTCACCCCCCCCAAAATCATCAAAAGGCAGAAAGGCATTGCACTGATGTTCTGTCACAATGTGAGCCGTTCATTGATTGAGCTCAGGGCCTCCCAAGCTGAGTAAAGCTGAGGAGAAGTGCATGCTGTGGGTTAGAAAGAATGCAGAGAGAACACAAACTCCAACTGCAGAGAGTCACTGCAGTAAGGAGGAGGCTAAGATATCCGCAGTAGGATAGATTTATACATCGATTTGAACCGACCAGCGGAAGTTACAGCTACATTTACCTAATATAAAATCACAACCAACACTACAATCAATGCACATCTTTCTTCTGTCTGTATACTTGTGTGCTTTACTTGGGTGGGAAACTGACAAATGTAAAGAATGAGATCTATTTACTACATGTGATTTACTACAACAAAGACAGGCCAGCCAGGTTTGCAATATTGTCTTCTTTTTTAAAAAAATAAATATATTCTAGAATCCCTGTGATCCACCAATGTGTCTTGAATTTACAAATGAAGATTATATATTCAGGACCTTTAAACAACTGCATGGCTAATTTGTTTTAAGTATTGCAGATCAAGACCCAATTGTTCCGACATTTGTCTCTCATAGAGGTCAGCTAGATGCATCTGGGAAGCCTATCAGCCATCAGCAGGCACCAGTAGGCTCACACCTGTTCTATGATCCCAGAACATGGTCTGAAATGCATATAATGTAGTAAACAATGCTGAAGTTAATGTATGGTCGGTGCTGAGAATGGAAACACACCTGGGATTCCTATGTATGCGGCATGAGTTCCTTGACAGATGGGATATAAAGACAGCAAAATAAATGTTATGTGGGGAGGAATTTCATCCGCAAGCAGTGGTGCTGTTTTTTGTTTAGAGTGCCATTTAAATTTCATCTCCAGGCTTCCCGGCTTGTACAAAAACTAGTCTAGTTAAGGGCTAAGGAACCTGTGGACCTCCAGACATCATGGGACTCTAATTCCCATCTGTCTCAGCCAACATGGCCAATGGTCACAGATGATGGGAGTTGTAGAGGACGCCAGCCTTCCAGCCCTTGAACTAATGAACAGTGAGGGAGCGTTGCTTCTGTTCTCTACCTTACAAGGGATACATGGCGTCCCCATAAGCCCTGGCTTTGTCGTAGTCTCATTGCTGAGCAACAAGGTGCAGAGCACAGTGGAGAGGAAGGCCAGCCAACCTGAAGAGTCTCTGAGGTGTACTTGCCTGGAGGCAGAGTCATCATCCAAAGTCAGGTCCAGTCTTCTGGTTGGGTAATCCATGTGGTCAGATGGTCTAGGGGTCAGGGAATCCAATGATCATGGGGTCAAGGGTTAAGACGAGCAGGAAGCAGCAAGTTAGGGTCAGGAACTACAAGCGTTGTTACCAGCACTTGACTGCTGCTGGAAGCTCTGCTTAAGAAGACTGAAGCCAGGTGATTGTCATCAGCGCCTTCTCCTCTGTGTCCTTGTAGGCTGATCAGATGCACGTGGAGTCATTCCACCTGCTCCTCCTTCAGGCTGCTGTTCAGCAGGGAAAGCTGTCTCCTGACTCATGACAGGTTTTAAGATTTCAGAAGAGCGCCTATTATTTATTTGCTCCAGTATGCCTAGGAACAACTTGAATTCTTCAGTTTT